GATCAGGAATCACGCCCGGCTGCATTTGCCTCTCCGGTGCTGATGTGTACGCAACAGGCACTAATTAAAGGCCGAGTAGACCTAGGCGAGGCACCAAACCGGTTGGGATATTCGCCAATGATTGTTTGGTAACCATGAGCGAGAATCTAACTCGGGTCGCTAAGCACTGCGCCACCGCTCCCCACACTCGCGCACAACCGCACACACCTGTGCGTTGTACACGCAGGCGGCGTAGGCGCTGTGCTTGTAATGTGTGTACACGTGTCATCACGAGGTTTGCAACATGTGATCACGTGGTTACGATGCGTGTACAAGCTGACACTTGGACACCCGCGCAAACCCCATCTAAATATTCCAATATATTAAAATATATACATTTAATTCACATCTGATTTGAAGCTTTCGTGACTGCAGCAATCCATACTCTTTGGTTATTCCGGTAAAGTCACGTAGGTAGAAAAATTATAGATCACGACGTCGTGAGCTATTATTTAATTCATGTGTTTATAAAAATTATTGTATTCAACAAGGTGCTGCTGAACAAAATCTACTCCCACAAGGCCATGTGGGCTACTGGGATGGGTAAAACAAATATGCTTTTATTTTAGATGTGCAGAGACATGTATGTGTGTGTCGGATGGGATATACTCCGCTCATCTATATCGCAATGTAGATTATTTAGCGTAATTATTATACCCCTTATTCTCCCTGCAGCGACGCCAGAATGTTGTGTATCTTAACACACGTACGCATTCGCGAGCGGTGGCGCAGTGGTTAGCGCACTCGTCTATACGAACCCGGCAACTACGGTTCCATATCCCGGCCACGGTTATTATCAGTGGCGAGTGATATGTGAACGGTCCTAAGCCTTCATTACAGTAATTCGCACTGACCGGTATTGTGAAGTATCGTTAAACGACCAACATGGTGATAGACAATGATTAACATTCACTTAGACTCAACACGGATGTATATTCAACACAACGGAAGCATATTTGTCACCAATTAGGCATTTACGCCACAACGGCGCCGGTGCTAGTGTTAGAGGTTGGACGAGGAGTGAATATGCACACACATGCACATACACAGGCAAAGACCCCCCGTCTAGGCATTCAGACTGCGAGGGTAAGTGCTGTTATTGAGCAGCTATCAAGGTCTCCACCGCGTAACGCAGGACGCGGTAACGCGCTCGACCGCCAGTGCTAATGTTCACACACCCGCGTCAGCTCATCGTTTAAGGCTGAGTGGACCTACACGAAGTGTGACAGAAACGATTGAGACGTTAATCGAGACTGATTCTCGCTGTGACCCGGAATTGAACTCAGGAAGCCGGCTTCGTCGCGCACTTTGTAAACCACTGCACTACCGTCTCCCTGCGCCAACAAACGCACCCGCACACATCGACACAAATAAACAAACGTAACGGCTGCCGACAGGCGAGTGTGCCAGGCTAGGTGCCCTTTAATAGACACTCTACGCACGCGTGTTTGCCCGGGGCTCGTAGAGACGCGCACGGCTACAATTTGTCAGATTTTCGGTAAAATCGCCGCGATGCCTCCGTCGCCTCCCGCAGCGGCGCGCACCCCCGCGACCCCCACGACCCCCGCGACCCCCACGACGGGGGTCTCGAGGTCTCTTCCCGCTACCCCAGCGGCAGACCCCCATGAGAGACACCCCCCACCCCGCTCGGCCAAACGCCCACAATCATCCGCACGTTCGCCCTGCGCACCGCGCCCTGCATCCAGCGCCCTGCACCCAGCTCCTCGCACCCAGCGCTCTGCGCCCTGCACCCAGCGCCCCGCACCCAGCGCCTTGCACCCAGCTCCTCGCACCCAGCACCCTGCACCCAGCGCCCTGCACCCAGCTCCTCGCACCCAGCGCCCTGCACCCAGCGCCTTGCACCCAGCACCCTGCACCCAGCGCCTTGCACCCAGCACCCTGCACCCAGCTCCTCGCACCCAGCGCTCTGCGCCCAGCGCCCTGCACCCAGCGCCTTGCACCCAGCTCCTCGCACCCAGCACCCTGCACCCAGCGCCCTGCACCCAGCTCCTCGCACCCAGCGCCTTGCACCCAGCTCCTCGCACCCAGCACCCTGCACCCAGCGCCCTGCACCCAGCTCCTCGCACCCAGCGCCCTGCACCCAGCGCCTTGCACCCAGCGCCTTGCACCCAGCACCCTGCACCCAGCTCCTCGCACCCAGCACGCTGCACCCAGCTCCTTGCACCCAGCGCCTTGCACCCAGCTCCTCGCACCCAGCGCCCCGCACCCAGCTCCTCGCACCCAGCGCCCTGCACCCAGCGCCCTGCACCCAGCGCCCCGCACCCAGCTCCTCGCACCTAGCGCCCTGCACCCAGCGCCATGCACCCAGCGCCCTGCACCCTGCACCCAGCGCCCTGCACCCAGCGCCCTGCACCCGGCTGATTGCTCCGGGCGGGCGGGCGGGGCGCCGCGTATCGCCGCGCCGCTATCTGCGCGGCCGCGCCGTGTAATCCGCGCGGATTGTCTCTGTGTGCGCAGCAAACTTCGCGTTTGTTCTGCGCCTCACACTTGAGATAAGAAGTCGGAGTAGAGGCCGCGGCGCGGGGGTCTGAATGGCTGAGCCGGGAGGCGCCGCCTTAATCTGCTTTCAAATGCGAACCCCCCTCCCCTCAGCCTCCCCCTCCCCTATCTCGATCCCTTTGTGCGCCGAGTCCTGTACTTGGTGGTGAGAGTATTTACGGCCACTAAAACGAGCCTCGACATCGGTCACCTCCTCCTGCTCCTCAATATTCCGGAGGTCGGTGCAGCGGATCGCCGGGTCCCCGGTTCCCGCATCCCCCCCCCGCCCGCTCCCCAACCCCACACCGCCACACATGTCCACTCACAATCGTGTTCACTCACAATCGTGTTTACTCACAATCGTGTTTACTCACAATTAGGGAGGGAGGCGCCGCGAGCGGCACTCGAGCCACTCGCCCCACCCCGCCGGTCCCCGCCGGCCTCCTCCTTATCTCCTCGTGCCCCCCCCTCCTCCTCCCCCCCGCAGCGTCCCCGTCCCCTCCTCGGTGGAGGAGGTCGTGGCGCTCCTCTCCTGCGGAGCGCGGCGCGCGGCGCGGCCCGGCGCCACAACTCACCGCGCCGCGCTCACCTGCCGAAGGCTGGGGGGGGGGGGAAGAGCTGTTAATCCCTCTCCCCTCCCTCTCCCCTCCCTCCCGCCGCCGCTCGACTCCCAGACGCCGCGTCGCCGCCGCGGGTCGCGTCCACTCGTCCCCGCTCCGCCTCGGTCCGGTCACGCAGCGCTAATGACGACGTCACGTTCATTATTTTTCCGAACCCCTTTTTTGTTGTTAAATTAAGCGGCCAGATTAAGGGCATTGTGAGCGCCGCGGCGCCGTGGATTACGCGGCGAGCGTCGCGGGCAGCGTCCTCCACCCTCTCCTCCGCGGCGACAACATCTCTGGGGCACACAAAGCACCCTCGTTGCCTCTCCCACGCTGCCGCCGCCGCCTCACGGCCACTTGCAGCGCGGCGGGCACTGCGCGAGACGCGAGGCCCCGAGAGCGAAGTGACATGGATTCTCGTCCCGCAGCTGCCGCCGCTGCTGCGTTTTGACCGAGTCCGCCAACTTTGAATGTCGAGGTTGGATTCCCGTTGGCCAAATTAGCGAAACACCCCTCCCCGCTACTCCGGACCTCGCGGGATTCGAGGAGAGGACCCCCCCCCCCCATTATCCCCGAGCGTGCGGGGGCCCGGGGCCCCGGGGCCGCGACGCGGGGCTGAGTGGCCCCCGCCATTGTCCGGGCAGCAGCCGCGCTGGCGCCGTGCGGGCGAGTGGTCTGTCGGAGCGGCTAATCACTTTACCCGCCGCGGCCTCTCCCACACCGCCCCCACCGCCATCCCCCTGCGAGCCCCCGCCCCTCATCCCTCATCCTCCCCCCTCTCTCTCGCTCTCTCGTCCCCTCCCCACCCTCGTTCATCCTACTGTGGTCCCGGCCGCCCATCCGTAACCCTGTTAGCACGGCCGGCACCCTCATCCTCCTCCTCCTCCTGCTGCAGCCCTAATCCCCGCGCCGCGCTTCTTTCAGCGCCGCGCCGAAGGAGACACGGGAGGGAGGGGGGGTGACCCCACGCTCGGACAGCGCAGTGGCCCATGAACCCCGCGGGGGGAAGGGATGGGGGTGGGGGCGATGACCTCTCCTCTTCGCCGGGGCGCGGCGCTGCTTATTAAAGGGCGCTAATAACGACGCGAGGCGCTGGACAGGGAGCGCGGGGGGCGGGGGAGCGACGGCGCCGTGATGAACACGCACGGAGGAGCGCGGAGCGCGACGCCGCGCCATGTAAACACGAGCGCGTACCGCGCGTCTCGCCGTGGCACGAACCCGGCGTCAAATCCATCGCGATGACGGTGGGGTGGGGGGAGTAGGGGGGGGAGTTGTGTGGGGAGGAGTAGGGGAGGGGCAGGGGGAGGAGGGGGGGGGGGAGCGTCCTGGGAGCGCGGCGGGATGAGAGGCAGCGGCGCCCCGCGCGTCCTGGGCGCCGCGACACCAACACGGCCCCGAGCACGCGCGGGGGGGGGGCGGCCGCGATGAAGGCGCCGCCGAGGGGGCCGAGGGGGGGGGGGCGCCGGAACGGGGAGAAAGGGGGCCCTGTGGGGGGTTGGTGGGGGGTCGGGGACAGCGCAGGTGGGCAGTGGGTAGGGACGATGGGCGGGGGAGGGGGATAGGTCACCTGCACGGAGTGGGAGGCGGTAGGTGGTGGGGGTGGGGGGGCGCTATTGGCTGCGAAGCGCCTCGTCCTCGTCGCGGGGGCCGTGCGGGAGCCGCGGGACACCCGCGGCTCCCCCCTCCCTCCCCCTCCCTCACTTCCCCCTCCCTCCCCCCTCCCTCTCTCCTCCCCCTCGTCGAGTTTTTTTTGTTTCTCGCGCTGGGGAAGTCGCGGCGACACCTCGGCCGGCCGCGCGGTGACGCAACGCGCGCGGCGCCGCCGCGTCAAGGCACCACGCCCCGCGCCGCTCGCCATTGGCCCGGGACGCGTCAACGAGCCAATCAGCGCCACTCAATCAGCGAGCGCACAAAGACGAGGGGGGAGCGGGGGGCGACGCGCGGCGCCGCGACTTCGCGCAGCGGCAGAGATCGGCGCTGCGCTCGTGGCCGGACGCAGCAGCAGCAGCAGCTCGCAGCGCCGTCCCCTGCCCGCAGCCCCTCCGCGGAGTCCTCCTCCCTCCCTCCCAAGCGACCGCGCCAAGCCCGGGTGGGCGCGCTTCCATCTCTTCTCGCCACCGCCGCCGATCCTCCTCCTCCTCGTCCTCCTCCTCCTCGTCCTGCATCTCCTCCTCCGCCGCTCCTCCCGTCAGCAGCTGCGACCCCCCGCACGACTTTACCGAGCGAGCGACCCCGCCGCGGACGAGGGCGCGCGCGGCCTCCTTCTCGTGCGTCCCGATGCGAGAGCCGGCCCTAGCTGCGAGCGGAATGGCCTACCACCCCTTCTTCCCCGGCCGGCCGAGCGACCTCCCCATGAGCGCCCTGCTCGCCGCGCAGCCCCCGTTCTTCCCCGCGCTCGCGCTGCCGCCGGGACTCTCCGGCTCCCTCGGGAAGGGGATGCCCGGCGACCCCGGCCTCTCGGTGTCCGCGCTGAGTCACCAGGCCGCGCACCTGCGCCACCTCAAGGGGCTGGAGGCGGAGGAGGCCGTGGAAGATGACCCCAAAGTGACGCTCGAAGCCAAAGATCTGTGGGACCAGTTCCACAAGTTCGGCACGGAGATGGTCATCACCAAGTCCGGCAGGTGAGCGCCGAGACACGGGGTGCGAGAGGGGGGGTCCCAGCGGGAGGGGATTCCGGGGTCCCTCCCCAGCGGGAGGGATGCGGGGCCCGGGGTCCCGCGACCGAGTTCGAGAGACCCCGCGAGGCCCCCACGCCTCCTCCTCCTCGTCGTGTGCGCACCTTCGCTGACTCCGACATAGCGGACTCGGACAGAGCGTGTACGCAAGTGTACGCACGTCGCTGTAACGGGCGTACACTATTGCAATGTGTACACACTGTGTGTGTACACACACACAGTGTGTACACGCAGTGTGCACACGCCATGCATCGCGTACGACGACGCGTATACGCATCACCGTTGCATCACGTACACGTTGTCACAGCGTGTGCGCAATCGCACGCGCGTACACCGCGGCGGGGTGCAGGCGTCGTCCACCGCAGTGTACACAGGCAGAGTCCCCGTCGCGGCGTGCACGGACAGACGTGCGGGCACCATCACGAGGTGGCGTGCGACCCGCGCAGTGCAAACTCCGCGGGGCCCCAGGAGCTGTGCGGGACGTGGGGCCCAGCACGGACCTCAAGACCAGCGCATTTATTTTGCTCCGAGCGAGAGTCGCCGTCGCGCGCGCGGGAGGCTCCTTCCCGTCTCTCGCGGCCCTTCCACGCGGAGCCGCCGCGCCTCGGGCGCAGAAACGGCGGCGGTGACAGCACCGCCGAGCCGGCTACGTCGCGCGCCTCTGCCGCGGTCTCCTCGCGGTGTCGTCTCGCAGTCTCTCCCCGCGGTGTCTCCGGCGCATTCCGGAGCGAGGAGGGTCGTTCGGCGTTCGAGTGAGAAAATCTCGAGAGCGACTCTCCTCTCTCCTCCCCTCGTCCCCCCCCCCCTCTCCTTCCCTCGCCTCTCCGCACATTTCCTCTCCTCCCGCGCCGCACAGCTCAGAGCGACCACTGGGGCCGATGTTGCAAACCGAGACTCGACCGGCTGAGATCGCGGCTCGCAGGCAGCACAGGGGTCGACAATCGGGATCGCACGGGGGTGGATTTGAGCGAGAGTGGTTTCGTTTGTAGCTTACACGAGGAGAGAGAACGAGGGGGGGGGGGGGTCTCACAACCCCGAGCGAGACGCGGCCTCGCGAAGCGCCCCCATGACGCAGGCCTGGCCGGCTTCTCCGAGTTCGCTCTCCCACAACAGTTCGCACTCTGCCCGCCTCCGCCGCGCGTCGCTCGCGTGCGAATCGTGCAGTTGGGGGGGGGGCTTGAGAGAGAACTCGCGGGGAGAGGACGCGACGGAGACGCCAGGAAGTCGGCCGATGGTCTTCGCGGGTGTTTGTCGGCCGGGCGCGGTGCCGGCCACCCCCTCGTGTGCCGTCCCGACTCTCGTCGGCGCTCGCGAACAGCACTTGCCCCCACAGGCTACACGGCAGATATGTCTGTGTGTGTATGTATATATGTACAACTCGGTGCGCGATGCACGCGTGCACGCGCACATGCTTGCCCGAAAAACAAATGCGGATCTCGTTAAGATTAATTAGAACATTTGCACGTCGATGTTTTGTGGACAGCGAAACATCGCGTCGCGTTTGCCGAAATGTCGGAAGGACTCGTGGGTCGAGCGACAGCCGCGCGGACCCCCGACACAAAGACAAAGATCCCCCGTGTAGCCTTCACAGACTGTTGGGGCAGGTGCTGTTAGCGAGCACCTACGAAGGCCACATCGGCACGCGAGGGGGTGAGTGGCCAGCACCACGACCGGCCGCCTTTGTCTCCCTATTGACGATGTTTATATATCGCACCAGGCACTCATTGTAGACATATATACATAGACACGCGTGAACTCTGCTCATCCTACACACACGAACGCACGATTGTGCTCGTGTCAATCGTTGGTGTTTTCGCTGCTGATAGTTTGTGTGTACACACGCATTCTGTGTACACCGCGTGTGTGTGTGTCTACACACACACACGCGGTGTGTGTACACACACACACGTGGTTGTCTGTCTCTGCGTGGGGCTGGCTTGAGTGTTTGATAGTCCACGACGTTTGCACACGCGTGTACGCACGAACGCGCAGTCGTGTGTGTGTATATGTGCGTAGAGCGTGTATAGACATTGGCTATATGTGTATATTCACTCTTATGTACACGCATTCGTGCGTACGTACTCATAAGACCTCACGTGCACATTTATAATTCAACCAGCAACTGAACACGGAGAAGGTAGCTGGATATCTTCACACACACATACGTATTCATGTGTGCGCTTGTATATATATTTGTATTTGTACTCATTTTATCGTACAAACTTTTCATTGCGCACATGTTTGCATCTTAATAATCACGCACACGTCCGACAATATAAATCGAACCCGTGTACTCATCAGCCCGTGTACGCTGCATCCCGTGTACTCGCCAGCCCGTGTACTCGTCATCCCGTGTACTCTGCATCCCGTGTACTCGCCAGCCCGTGTACTCTGCATCCCGTGTACTCGCCAGCCGGTGTACTCTGCATCCCGTGTACTCTGCATCCCGTGTACTCGTCATCTCGTGTATTGGTGTCGGCGCGACTCTTGATCAACGAGGCCACGGTAACCGCGCGGGTTTTCTGTGCGCGGCTCCGCGCGAGCAGCAATAATAGCACGCGACACCGGCGATGTCTCATTTGATTATGGGACATCAGCTGTGTCTGATTATGAAAGGGCATAGCTGCGTCTGATTGCGACTCGTGTGTCTGATGATTCGTGTTTATTTAAAGGGCACACGGCTGTGCCTGGTTATTCGGGGGCGCCGTCTGCGTCTCGCTGTTGCAGCAGCAGACGACACCGTCTTGTCATCGCCGACTCGCCGTCTCCCCCCCCCCCCCGCAGGAGAATGTTCCCGCCCTTCAAGGTGCGAGTGTCGGGTCTGGACAAGAAGGCCAAGTACATCCTGCTCATGGACATCGTGGCGGCCGACGATTGCCGCTACAAGTTCCACAACTCTCGCTGGATGGTGGCGGGCAAGGCCGACCCCGAGATGCCCAAGCGCATGTACATCCACCCCGACAGCCCGGCCACGGGCGAACAGTGGATGTCCAAGGTGGTCTCGTTCCACAAGCTGAAGCTCACCAACAACATCTCGGACAAGCACGGCTTCGTGAGTACACCACCACCACCACCCGCCCCCCGTCGCGCGCACATGGGCCACTTAGGGTGTTCAGGTGGCTGTGGAAAACAGGCACCTTTAGTCTATGTATACTTACAGACATGTTATGTAAGTACGTGGTTTATGTTGACTTGTACTGCCTTACAAGGGAACGTCTATGCGTTATAAATAAGGTACATAGTCCGAAACGTCATCTATATATGTTATTGACACTTGATATTATTAGTATGATAGTTAAAGTGTTTAGATGTTTTAAATATATATTTGTTTTGATTGTGCACCAAAGCCAACGCAGCAGCTGCAAGAGATCATCAGTCTCACACAAACGCACCGTGAGCACAGAGACTTTAGTCCGGACACAACGCAGCACTTCGACGCTTAGCACAGAAGGCGCCGTGAGCCTCGACCACGCACAGACGCGCGCATCTTCACACGCGAATCTTCGCACGCGAATCTTCACACGCGAATCTTCACACCGACATCTTTGACACAGACACGACGGCCAGGGCGCACTGCGCCAGACCCTGCCTCGTGTCTGCAGGGTCCACAGACGTCCCTGGAGACACGATGCACAGACACGATGGGTAGTCGATAACTTCACAAACAAACTGCGTGTCTAACTGGACACGAGCTAACGGCAGCTACCTACAGGCTGTCGGACGCAGCCGACAACAAGCCTGACAGCCGCACACTGTAACACGGCTACACTGACACATGGGACCCGTCACGCAAACTTGACAACTACCTACACCCGTCACACAGCCTGGCAGCGACACATTTCACACACACTTGACAGCTACACCCGTAGCACAGACTGTACACACATACAGACAAAGATCCCCCATATAACGTTTGTATTCGCTAACAGCAAGGGCAAGTGCTTTTAGCGAGCACCTATGAAGGCCGCACCATTCCCCACGTCTCCACCATCCGCTCAAGTCTCATGATTCATGTGCTACACGTGTTTACCATATATATGTTACATGACCCACGTATGTTGTATGCATATATAGATGCTAGTGAACGTTGTTCTTGTTGCGATAGCCAAGCGCTCAGGTGTAGCCCCGCCAGGTAAGCCACGTGATGATGGTCGTTCCGATAGGCCGAGTGTGTGGGTGCGGAGTCTGGGGCGGCAAGGGGGGGGAGTGTACAACACGCGTGCGTGTGTGTGTGTGTCCGTGTGTACACGAGTGTGTGTGTCCGTGTGTACACGAGTGTGTGTACAACACGTGTGTGTTCGTGTGTACACGCGTGTGTGTGTGTGTGTTCGTGTGTACACGCGTGTATGTGTGTGTGTACAACACCTGCGTGTGTGTTTGTGTATAACACGCGTGTGTGTGTGTACACTAATGTAGAAAGACAAACATCTCCCTATATCCTTCAACAGAATGTCGGGACAAGTGCTGTTACCGAGTAGCACCCATGAAGGCCGGGGCCGGCATACGCGTGTGTGCGTGTATGTATAACACGTGTGTGTGTGTATAACACGCGTGGTGGGCGGATTGGCCAGCACCACCACCACCCGCTCGTATTTGTCTCCCTAGTGGCGATGTTTACATATCGCGCCAGATGCTCGTTTTAGGCTGAGTCAACCTAGGGGAGGCCCCAGGACTGGTTCCGATGAATCGTCACTGATATTGGTGGACGTGAACGGGAATCGAATTCGGGTCTCTCTCTGCTGAGTTCATAGCGAAGCCACACACACACTCGTGTACACACGGACACACACTCATGTACACACGGACACACTCGTGTACACACGGACACACACTCGTGTACACACGGACACACACTCGTGTACACGCGGACACACATACACACACGCGATCCTTTGCACGCGCGCGTGTGTGCATGTGTGCACGACCGCGTGTACACACACGCACAGAGCTGCAAGTGTGCACAGACAACGTGCACGCGCTGGAGTGTAATAAATAAATGACGGTGCAAATGCATTCACGTATGAATTAAATAGTGATCACATGGAGGCATTCGTGTGTGTTATATACGTGTGTGTGTGTGATACACGTGTGTGTGTGTTACACACACGTGTGTGTGTGATACACGTGTGTGTATGTGTTATACATGTGTGTGTTATACACGTGTGTGTGATACACGTTTGTGTGTTGTAGTGAAGTGTTCGTTAGCGCGATTCCCGCTCGCGGTCACTGTCGGTGACGAATATCTGAACCGGTTCTGGGAAAATGTCTCCACTAGGTCGACTCAGAGTTAAATGGGTACCTGGCGTGGTGTGTAAACATCACCGGGGAGACAAAGGTGGCCGGGGCTTGTGTTGTCCACACACCCCCTTGTGTATGCCCCGTATATGCCGTGCCAGGTCTGTGCGCTCGCTAACAGCACTTGCCCCAGTAGTCCGTAGAAGGCTATATGGGGGACCTGTGTATATATGCACGTGTGTCAACTCGGCCTCAAACGAGTACCTGGTGCGGAGCGTAAACATCAGCACTGGGGAGACAAAGGCGGCCGGGCGAGGGGTTGGCCACACAACCTCCTCCCTCTGTGCGCGATGCCGCATTTTGATCGGGACTCGCTATCAGCACTTGCCCGCAACTGCCTGTAAGGCTACAGGGGTACCTCTGTCTTTGTGCGTGCCAGTCGACTCCGACTGCGTGGTTATTTATTGTTGTGTGAGTGTACGCGCCACGGTGTTTGTTTTTTGTGCGCCTGTATGGACGAATGTGCGTGCATTCACACCCAGAAACGTGTGCCATTATCTGTGGACGTGCGTGTTTACGATTGTGTGTCTTTGTGTGTTGTGTGAGCGTGTGTATGTTATTTAGTGCTCGTATTTGCTGTACTGTATATATATGTGTGTGTGCATGCATTTGATCAAATGCACGTGTATATCATATGCTGTGTACGCGTGTGTGTGATGTGTGTGCGTGTGCCGTTGTGTATATTTGTGTATGGTGTGTGTGTGGTGTGTGTATGGTATGTGCGTGTGTGTCGTGTCGCGGTTAGCGCGCTGCGAGACGAACCCAGCGACCCGGGTTCGATTCCCGCTTACACCAGCGACGATTATCTGAAGCAGTCCTGGGCCTCCCCTAGGTCGACTCAGCCTCAACTGAGTACGTGGCGCGATGTGTAAACATCGCCACTAGAAAGACAAAGGTGGCCGTGAGTGATGCGGGCCACCCACCCCCTCGCGTGCCGTACCGGTCTTCAAAGGTGCTCGAATGTAACACTTAGCCCAACAGTCTGTTAAGGGGGTATTTGTGTTTCTTGTGTGTGTTATATCAGTGTTTCTATTTATGTACAACCACATACACGTACATCTGTTGTGTGCACATGCATTGGTGGTGTATAGCTGTGTCTATGTATTGGTACACACGTGTCTCTAGTTACGTGTGCACACGTGTTGATGTGTACACACGCGTGCGCGCTCGTAGCTGTGTACACGTGTATGTACGTGTGTGCGTTTATGGGAGCGGTGGCGCAGTGGTTAGCGCGCTGGCGCTAGAGCCCGGCGACCCGAGTTCGATTTCCACTCACGGCCAAAAAGTTGTCCTGTGCCTCCCCTAGGTTGACTCAACCTCAAATAAGTACTGTACCTAATAGACATCGCCACTAGGGATACAACAGCGGCCGGGCTTGGTGCTACCCCCTAACAGCACTTGCCCCAACAGGCTGGTAAAGGCTTTACGGGGGATCTTTGTCTTTGCACCCAAAGCGTGTGTTCTCGTGCTGCCGCTGCCTTTGCGAGGCGGCATCGCGGCCGCGGGCCCCGAAACGGGGCCCAGGGGCTCGGAGCGCGGTCGTGGGCCGAGGCGGGAGGGGGGGGCTTGTGGCCCTGGGGCCACGGGGCGGACGCGGCGCTAATTGAATCAGCGCCGTTTGTTTAGGATCCTTGCGCGCGGGAATTCGCTGCGCCCCGCTCCCTATTCCACGCGTTCGTGCGACAATTGTGAGCAACTCGACAAAGACAAACACGGCCGGGGGACCTCTCTCCCTCTCTCCTCGCTCTCCTCGCTCCCCCCTCTCTCTCGCACGCACTCTCCGTTTCGTGAATATGCTGTAGTTTGGAAACACGCGGACAGACCAACACACACACGCGGGGACAGACACACGAAGTCGCACGGGAACGCCGCATAGACACTTTCACACACAACACGGAAGACGCACGCAGGGCAACAGGAACACGCTGGGCACGCGGAGAAACACGAACCCACAGACAAAGACACGAACACACACAGTGAGGGACACACAAATACAGACACACACATGGACAAACAACACGCAAAGACACACGCGGGCACACACAGACACACACGCGCAGACTCGGAGCCGGCACCGCGGAAGGCGATGACTCCACATTCCTCTCCCTTCCTCGCCTCCCTCTCCCCATCTCCCCCGCCTCCCTCTCCCCATCTCGTCCGCCTCTTCCCTGCCTTCATCTACTCCCTCCTTCCCACAGTCTCTCACTCTCTCGTCCACCACCGTCTCTCCCCTTCTCCCCGCTTCGCTCTCCCGACCCCGCGAGTCGCTGCCGGGCTCGGGGAACGAACAACGCCGTGAACTTGAGCGGGAAATGGGGGGGGGGGGGCGTGGGATGGGGGCAGGGCTTGAGCGAGCTGCATTCAGGGGGTTTCCAGGCCCCCCTCGTTCCACCCCTACTACCCTCTCCAACTGCGATCGACAATCACCGCTCGTATCGAGACCGCCCGCCCCGTTAGCCCCCCTCACCCCCGCCCTCTCGAGACGGGGGTCGCGCGGAGAACAATAGCGGCCTGCGCGTAGCGGTGCCACCGTGACCCCGCGTTGCCGTGACCCCGCTTTGCCTCTACGTTACCCCAGCGTGACCATCGCCCCTGTGTTGCCTCCACCCCTGAGTTACGGGGTCACTCGGCCACGGGGTCGCGTTAAGGGCCGGCCTCGATCCGGGGTCGGCTATGGGGAGTGGCTGTGGTCGATTGGACTCCGGTGTGGTGGGGTGGAGTGTTGATATCGGTTGGGATTGACTGGCAGGGTCGAGT